ATGAATCAAAAGCATGCAGAATCCAAAATTTAACTCATTATTTTTTTTATAATTCATGTTTTTTTTTCGAAAATTTTCTCAAATGTATTTTAAAATTGTTCTTTTGTTATGTAGTTAGATTTCTGACATCATATTTAAAGTACTAACAGAAACACAGTGAATTTTCTCCAATGCGATTCTCCTGAAAACGACTGTGAAAATTGACGTCTCCTGAAATAACGGCGAACCACACTTTTGTTTAAGTATGTGTAATGTGTAAATTTACCCATATTAAAGTTTTCTTTTCTTATAAGATTTGCTACTTGCATGTCTACATAATTAACTTGCATGTTGACATTAATATGTTGCATGTCTACATAATAATGTTGCATGTAAACATACTTTATCTTGCTGGTAGGGGGCAGAAATATACCACCGTACCATTTTTATATAACTACATTTAAGTAAAAATATCTCATTCAAACAAATATTATTTTAGCCCTATCTAAAACTGCGTTAGTTTTCGTATCGTTTGGTTTGTATTTCAGTGTTTGGAAGATTAATTTTCGTCCTGGTATAAGTTTTCTTGCATTTACTTCTAAATTAGTGTTTGTCTGATAACATAGTTTTTACAGCAATGTGATTCTCAAACTATGATATCTAGATGTTCTTAAATTGATAAACAAATGCTTACCGCTATTCTATATCTAGAGATAGTCTCATCGCGATGTAGCTGATTTAATATTTGAATCCCTTTCTTATATCATCAGTACAATACGTATCACAATTAATCTTCAATAAATTCTATGAAATTACATTTATTTCTCTTATATGTTTCAATTCTCAAAGTCAATATTTATAATGTGTACGTCAAGTGTCAATCACTTTTAACATTTGTATTTTTATGTATCATCAGTACAATGTGTATCACAGTTAATATTCAATAAATTCTATGAAATAAGATTTATTTTTCTTAAATGTTTCAATTCTCAAAGTCAGTATAAAAATTGTGTACGTCAAGTGTCAATCACTTTTAACATTTGTATTTTTGTAAGATCTAGAGCCCTAAAAATTGAATTTTATGTTTATTATAAACAAATATAAATCTGTCGACTAAAGTAAATAATAACTTTCACACACCCCCACACCCCACAAAGAAGACATAAAGCACACTTAGACTAACTATAATAGCATTAGTTAAATTATTATATATTTATATAAAAGGATGGAATTTATTTCATTCTAAATAAAGAGCAAAACTGTTTATTTTAACAGATTGGATTCAAAATGCTTAAAAAAAGAAAAGAAAGAAAGAAATGGTTTCTGAAAATTAAGCTATCCATAAACAATCCGCATGTACACACGTAATAAATTTACATTGAATCATGAAAAACCATTACCCTGACATTGAATGATGTAGTTTTTAACTACAAATGATTTGAAATTGTCAGTTCATTAAAACAATCTAATGTATTTCAGTTTTGAAGAGTGATGACGACATTAACTACGACGCTTCACCTTGGCATATTTCTTGAAGCGTATTGACGCTTCATGATAAATATTCCGGCATGAAGTGTTGCACTTCATGTACTTCACGAATCTTAAAAAAAATAAATACAGTACGGTATTATGGCGTAATAATGGAGATATGCATGCTCATCCATGGTAGCTCATAGAAAATGAACAAAAATTATAATTTGTAAGGAACGTTCAAGACATATAAAAAAGTTTGTAAATGCTTAAGAATGATAAAAAGAAAAGAAAAGGAAAGAAAATCAAATTCTTAAATTTTCCCAAAGATTTTAATTGATTAATTTATAGTGACACTATAAAAATCGCTTAAGATGAAATATGGATGCAAAGTTCAGATCTGTGACAGCTTGTCCTAAGGATGATCTCACTTGGTTGAACAACGGCATTAAGTTACTGTGTCCCAATGATACACTAGGGAGGAACCTGTACCAGTGTGTACCTAATAATGACAGATTTTCACTTGTGGAGTTTTGTCTTCAAGGGAGTATTGGCAGATTTGGAGCAGGTGAGTCAATGTTAATTGTAAAACAATAATATCCGAATCATATTATCTTTCTTTTGATAAATTCTAAACAATTTCTTTAGGTTGTTAAATGATAAAATTAGATACATATTTTAACCTTTATGTTGGAGTTCCGATGCGTACTTTGTTGGCCCACATGTCTTTTAAGCTCACCTGACCCGAAAGCTCAAGTGTCCTTCGTCCGTCCGTCTGTCTGTTTGTTCGTCTGTAAACACATTTTCGGCTTTTTCTCAAGAACCACTGGGCCAATATTGACCAAACTTGGTACAAAGCTTCCTTTGGTGAGGGGGAATTTAAATTGTTAACAAAAAGAGCCACACAAGGGGAAATAATCAAGAAAATACAAAAATAGGAGGGGGTCATTAAAAGATCTTCTTCTCAAGTACCACTGGATCAGATGAGCTGACACTTATGTGAAAGCATCCTAGGGTAGAGTAGATTCCAAATTGTTAAAATCATGACCCTAGGGGGAAGGGTGGGGCCACAATGGGGAATCAAAGTTTTACATAGAAATATATAGGAAAACTATTTGAAAATCTTCTTTTCAAGAATCACTGGACCAGAAAGGCTGAAACTTATAAGCAAATGGAAGGATCCTGGGGTGGTGTAGATTTCAAAATGTCTAATTTATGATCAGTGGGGTAGGTTGGGGATGCATTATGTTTTTACAAGCAGAAAATCTGGTAAAGAAAATAATGGTCAAAGCTTCTCAGCTAAGCGATGTGGCTCATGGGCCTCTTGTTTTTGTAGGAAGCGTTATTCAAACTAAATATACATAACTAAGACGCTTTCTGTTTGATGCTACATTTAATTCGAAATTAAGATATACTGAGCACCAATTATTAATAATTAATGCCTCAGCAACCCCTTGTTATGTTCACAGAAACGGAAGGTAGAAAATATACAGTGTAAAATAAATTATATTGTTTATTATAACAAGTATATGTGGCTGTTTAAGTTAAGAGGATGATAATTTTTATCAGATTTTTTTTTCATTATCAGTTGCAAGTGTAATAAATGTTCAGCAGTTTAGCGAAAAAATAACATGAAATAAAGAAAAAAAATATTTTAATAATATGGCTTTTATAAATGACTGAGGGGTGTGAACTAACATATAGTTCATTGAATATTTCTCCTCATGTCTTTAGATACTTGCCCTTTTGCTATATCTTCGGGACACCTAGATGCCATCAACTGCACCACTTTTCTCAACGGTTGTCCGAAAGAACCTTATCTTACCAATGAAGTTTACAGATGTAAGAAGTACTATTTTTTTTTTTCTGATGGAATAGATACCTAACTGATGAAGGGATGTAAGTAAAAAAAAACTATTCGAAATAAAGTGGGTCATTGTTGTTTCAGATCCAGCCTGCTTGGACATAAATCCACAGAAACACTGTTATTTGGCAAATGAAAGCTGTTTAGACAAAACGTAAGTGAATCTGTGTTCTCCGTTTCATCCTCTCGTTAGATATTACGACGGATTGAATCAAATTGTTATGATATTAGCTGATTTTGTTTTTTTAAGGAGTCAGGAGATACCAAAATCAACAACTTTTATTCAACCCACTGACTCATATACCCTGTCCACAGGCAGCTCCAATCTTACCTCTGTGTTACCAAACAGTACTTTCAATTTGCAGCCCGGGATTGAGACCGTACCTATAATTGCTGGCGTAGTCTCCTTGTTGATCGCACTAGTGGTTATTTTCGTGATTTTCCTTTCTTTTTATTCGAAAAAAAAATTGTCGATCTTGGAGCACAAGTGAGTTAATTTTATGTATACATGTACATAATTCATATCCTACTTTTGCTGTATCATAACATTTCTGCCAAACGTGAATTTCAATAAGATATCAGACTACACGTTCATAAATATATATAAACTTTCCCAAGAATGCGTCATTGAAGTGTATATATTAAACAAGTTTCCTCACATAAAATTAGCATACCTTACCATGCATTTCGATAAGACATCATAGGGTCATATTTTCTATGTAATACTTGTGGGAATTTTCTGAATGACCTATATCTCAATTTTTGGTGTTCTTATATTTTAAAACATTTTAAAAAGCAAAGTAGAAGTCAGAAGAGATTGACAAATATGAATATTTGTATATAATACCAAGAGATACAAAGCATTCATATGAGGAACATGTCGTCTGACCTTTAGTTCTATGCATTTATTTAGACATATTTTGGACCATTTCTAAAACTTATCCAAACACTATATTGTATTACCCTGGAACTTTTCTTATCTCTCTTTAGACAAATTGAATATGGTAATGAATTGCTCAACACAGGTCTGAAGACATCCGAATTTTTTTCAATACAAGTCATCAACTCAAAGTAGAGTAAGATGATAAATATAAGGCGCGGCATACGTTTTTGTGTAATTTAGTGCACATGTTAAGACATCTAGCTAGGGAAAAAGCTTTGTGATAAAAAAAAAAGGTTCTTCATAAAATTGGTGATATAAATGTATAAAATTAGCATTCCAAAGGATGTGCCTCCTAATTCAACACATTATTATTGATAATAAATTGAAATAAACACAAAATAGATTTTTTTTTTCAATTTGCACTTCAAGAATCTACGTTTGATCTAGGGTTAACTTTAAAGTCGTGAAAACAACCTTGCAAAGAGACATTACATGTACAGTCCCTGAAATGTTCTACTTTCCCATTTTTCCGTTCGCTCACCGATCGTTCACCGTTCGTTCAGCGTTCGTTCACCATTCGTTCAGCGTGCGTTCACCGTTCGCTCTTCGTTCACAGTATTGCGTTCAACGTTCACCGTGCGCTCGCGTTCATCGTTCACAAAACGTTCACCGTTCGCTCTTCGTTCCGTGTACTTTGCGTTCACCTTGCGTTCACCGTTCACTTATCGTTCAGTCTTCATTGTCATTCGGAACTCCGAATTGAAAGGACTTATCTTTTTGATGGTAAGGATTTACATGTTTTTTTTTCATTAAATAACTTAGATATCGTGTTTGAAGAATAATCATTTTATTGCAAAAATTATCTATGATATTTATTTTTCTATTATTATAACCCAGTTGTTAATTATTTCATAAATTTTCCCTGGAAAATAATACATTACATTGTAACTACCTACATGTATGTAGAACGATGCTAAAATATCAATTTTAAAGAAAAGGCAATGTACAAATGCTTCACGCACGGCATCAATTTGTTGTAATTTTAAAGAGGACAAATTATTAATAGATTTATAATAATTACATGTAATCCAAGTCTTTTACGGGACGAGAATACATAACAAAAAAATTATTTCTACAGTAACACGTATTTTAACTACATGTAGGTTTGAGAATTATGAACAGTACTGCAAATATTCAGTTAATTAATTAAATTAAATTTTAAAAAAGACCAAATGTTTAAAATAGTCTATTATTAGAGACGGAAAATTCCTTCCTTCACCGTACCTAAACATATGTTTAGATATATGTTTGCTATTCAGCATAATCAAGACCCCCCACCCCCACCCCCCACCTGATGCCTTTTCTCCTGAAATAAAATTCTTCTAGAGTTTTTTGTATATTTTAATTGATATTTAATTTGTATTGTAACACAAGAAAATCAGTCTTAAAACCAACATCAAACAGTCATTAAACAATAGTATTTTAGAATAAACTTGTGCTGACATTAGTATTTTAAATTGGCAGGGAATATGTTTCAATTTCAATTTAAAACTTAATCCCTCCGAGTATATATTCGAATTATTTATTTTTGTCTGCAGGAATGCAAAAATCAGATCTAGAAATGATAGGGAAAATATTAAAACTTCTTTGCCTTCGGCATGTTCGGTGAAACGCGATTTCCACACCTCCATTGTGTCGAATTACTTTGATTGACAGCACAAGCACGCTACAGTCGCTACTAGCACGGACTTCCTGTGAACTGTCTTTAACTAGATGATGGAAAACAAAAGCCAATGATTACTGTCAAATGGATTTGTTAATCTAAAAAAAAAATTCCCTTTACTGCTTGGAATATTTAGGAAAAATAAGAAGAATTTTTATTTGATACAACAGATATCTGAGAATCGACGGGGTTATCTCTCTCTCTCTCTCTCTCTCTCTCTCTCTCTCTCTCTCTCTCTCTCTCTCTCTCTCTCTCGTACATTTCTCTGTTCAATAAAAACTATGACAACACATTACTTATTTAGTTTTGAAAATTTAATCTATTACAAATAATTTGAATGCCTGTTTCCAACATCTTAACCGAGTATTATCACGGCCGGGAAATGTCTACAGATACATGAAGAAGTTAGCTAAAATAAGCGTCATAAAATAATACAAAAGGCAAATAAGTATCGAATATTTTCCATTAGAATTTAAATAAAACGAGAGTTTTTATGCAGTACGATAACAGTCAATGTCAACAGATAATTGTGAATTTAAAAGAAATCCGTTATTTTTCTCAGAATCGCTTTGGCACGAAAATACATGTATGGTTATTTCAACCGCGTACAATTTAATTAATTCATTCTATAAGTAGTAGTTTTATCTTCAGAAGCCCACATTATTTTATTAGTGAAAAGAATGAGCATTTTTACTATATAAATAGATTATTTTTATATTTAATCTACACGCGTTCGGAAAAAAATACGTGTTATAAAAAATATCAATTTAAAACATAGGTACATACCGCATATACTCGCATATAAGTCGGTATTTTGGGAGTTAAATGTTGGTCTAAAACTCTATGTCCGACTTATAGGCGAGTCATAAAGAGATTGGTATTTTTCTAAAGGCTGAAATGTAGTATCTTATTTGCATATCCAATGATTTTCGAAGAAATGTCTGAATATATGAGATTATTTATGTATTCTTTAATTATATAGATAGAGTAAAAGTAAATTGTATTTACATATTTTAATAATTCTAAGTGGGCATTGCCTTTTTGTTTTATAATTTAAGATTAAATATCAGTGTCATTTCGCAAAATATTAATTGAAACCAGGTTAAAGTATTAATGGATTTACATGAAATTGTTACTAGAGTTTGAAAAAAATTGTACCGACTTATAAGCGGGTCAATAGCAAATCCCCCCAAAATAACATCAAAAAATACAACCGACTTATAGGCGGACCAACTTATAGGCGAGTATATACGGTATATGTACAGAACAAAAATGTTTTCATTACTTAGTATTTATTTATTTATTGTTTATTTATATTTAAACACCTGAAATTAGAATTATAGAATAATTTCAATGCAAGGAAAAGATCGGAGGCATTCCGAATAAATCGTTCATCTTGTGTTCACCGTTCGTTCACCGTTCACTTTGCGCTCGCGTTCGCGCTCCGTTCGCGTTCTGCGTTCACTCACCGTTCACCGTTCACACATCGTTCACCAAGTTGCGTTCAGCATTCGCACATCGTTCAGCCACCATTCGCTCTGCGTTCGTTCACCGTTCGTTCAGCGTTCGTTCACTGTTCAGGTGGGAAAGTAGAACGTTTCAGAGACTGTACGTTATATCCCACATGTGTTTAACATTACCATTAATGACTCAAAAACCTTTTCATTTTAAAAAGTTTCATATTGTGAAATAAAAACTGGAGAAAAAATGTTCGTTACAAACACAAACAATTCTTTACCTCTGGCCAGCAAATATCAGGGTTTTTTATCAATGAGTCACAATGTCTACTGCAACGCAAATGTCCTCTCCGTCGCATTCCCTATACTTCAACCCCCTCTCAAAAATTATTTATTTCATAGGTAACGAATCTTTGACGTTTGACCTTCTTCCTTATTCATGGGAGCAAAATTGCTTTGAAAACGAGAGAAATATAGTCATGTTAAACATCTTTTCTTACATTATTTAATAAAAATATTGTTAGCCATAGAATCAAATAAAGAATAAAGATACCTATGTACTTCTCCTTTTACTTTGTCACACCTAACGGATTTTGAAACATGCTCGGCCGAGGGACGGGTTACTTTATTTTTAAACGATAGTACAATATTAGTTATTTTATTGCATGAAGGAGAACAGATTTACAAGTATTGTTTAAATAAAAATAAATTAGAAGAAGCCTTTCAAAAATTCCTAATTTCTTTAGCCATAGAAAGAAATGAAATACACGATGAAAACAACATCTTGTACTAGTAGTTTTCAGTTCTAAAAATGAGTCTTCAGTTTCACCTAGCATGTATTATGAAAAAGTCACGAGTAAATTTGTCTAGATAATGACAAGATATTCAGATCCATAACATGGAGGAAATTCAATAGCATGCTCATTCTTTTGCAGAAAAATCAACAGAGAAGGACATTATTCGTATACAAAGACAAGACAGGAACGAGGAAGAGGTTGAAACTTGTGACATCGATAATGAACTTGATCCAATACGTACGTATGCAATTGATTGTTACAATTGTTAAATTTCTAAATATCTTTTATCTGTATCATATATTTATCTATCCATTTTTTCCACCCTCAAAAATTATTAATTAATTTTGATAATAACTTTTCAATTGTCTTCATATGTATTAAAAAATTACGATTGTCATGTCATGCACTCACAGAGCTACCGTTGCATTTAGCAAAAGAATCGCACAAAGGAGTAATTTTTACCTCTGTTTGTTTTAAGAAACTGCGAAGAAGCAAGAATCATCCGTCAAGATTGTAAATGAATCAGTGAAAAGGGAACATGGTTCAAAAGAATATGATCTTATATGTGAACCAGATATGACAGAGAGGACTGCTATTGAAGAATGTACTAGTATGTTCCAATTAAATTGTTTTACAACACGTATGACATGGAAACGGATAATATACCGTATAACGGGTAATTCTTACTGCTGTAAATTTTTACGAATTTCTAATGAAATAGAGTGATTTTATTTTTTACGCGTTAAATTTTTACGAATTTAGCATGTCCGTAAAAATTAAATTCATCAGAGGTGAAGTTCAAGATCAATGTTTTAGCGTTTTGAATACTTAACATACATATACCCGGCACGTGTTTTAAATGTCTGGATAACCCGATGTAAAATAAAAAGGAAATTGTTCCCATGATAACTAGTGTCGATTCCTCAAGTGATGTGTAGACATTGTTTACGTTCTTGCTAATGTTACATGAACCATATTATTAAAACCGAAAACGGCTAATTCTGGCTTCCGGTTTACCACGAGTAGGTCCCTACTTTAAATTGATAAAGTTTCTTCACTAAATTAATTTGATTATGTATTATGAACATACACTCAATCACGCAAACAATGAAACATATTAAATGAAGACGAATACAAGTTGTCCAAATTTAGTGCTGCATTATGACGCTAGGTGGCGGGATTGCTCGCCACGAGTGTTGGTAAAATTAGGGCCCGGGTTATTTAAGATTCTTCAATATGCATTAATACTTTATCAGTCGAACCCAAATTTTTAATTGATATTTGTTATATATTGTAGGTACAGTCATGTACCTTTATCGCTTCTTCTGAAGGCCGTGTCCAATCACCCGAACCAACTAGGGGTACTATGAGCAATGAGCTCACTTAATAATACCCCCGCCTCCCATATGAATATAATTGCAGTATCAGTGTTTAGCTTTAGATAATCCAAAATATATGTCAGATCAAAAAGTAAAATAGTTGATTTACAGTTGTTATAAAAAAGCTTGACTTTTCTTACCGAACTTAGCAAATTGGATATTGAAGAAAATCGCCAAAAATAATCCAAATTATCAAGATTTTCAAAATATAAAGGAGGGAAAAAATTCTTGAAAGTCGAAAATTCTATTTTGGAGGGTTTTTTTTCAGTACCAAATTTTACTCATACGCCACTAAGTATATGACTTTTATATAATTTCACTAATTAGTACAGCAACAACAACTGTGAGGAATAGGGGCAACAGGCATTTTGCTTAACTTTTTAGTAAAAGGTTTACATTTTGAAAAAAAAGATTAGTGGGCACCCTCCCCTCTATCGGTGATCTTACCCCATAGGAGGTGGTCCACCCGGATGTCTGAATTAATAGTGACACACCCAGGGGTAATTGTATAATGTCCCTCTGGTAAATTTTTTCACTGATATGAAGAAGCCATGCAATTCCTGTCGGTAAAGAGCTATAATTTTTTACCTATACTCGGCACTTTGGGTCAATTGGTGGTGAGGAATTTTTGTCGTGCCTACTGCGACACGGGACCTCTGATTATAAGGTCCTAGTGAAGGACCAAACTCAACATCTCATAGTTGGAATCGATTATTTTATTATAGATTCGACTCCTTACAACTGCACTTTGCGACTTAGGAGCAAACGCCCTAACCACAGTGCCACTTGGGCGACTGAAGGGGGGGGGGGCACGTCCGAGAAAAAGAAGACACAATTAGTTTATCAGTTTAATAGTAAAGATTTCATTACCAGTAGATTCGTGAAGATTATCTGTTTTTACCTGAATTGTTAAAATGATTTAATTGAGTCTGGCAATATTAGTATTTACACTTCCCGGGGAAGGAAGTCTCTCTATATTAGTCTTCTAAAAGGAAGCATCAATATATCTAAAGTTAGACTTTCGAGGGGAAATCTCACCATCTAGCGAGGCTTCCGAAAGAATCGGGTACATGCCTGAGCTTATAACAAACATCATTTAAAATTTGGGTTAGGCTGATAAAGTATTAAGGCAGAATATTGAAAAAAAATCGAATAACCCAACCAGGGTTTGCTTACCCAATTTTAGCCCCCGCTTGAAAAGTGGGAGTGTATATAGTAGTCGGTATGTCTGTCTGTCCGTCTGTTCGTCCGTACATCTGTTACGCTTTGGAGGTACCCATCTCTTATCCGCTATACCTCTTATACCACTTAGAGAAATTTAATGAAACTTTCACAGAATCTTTATAACATATTACCATTGTGCACCTTCTATTTTACTTTTTGATCCGACACATATTTTGGGTTTCCCAGCCACAGCAAAACATATACTTTTTCATTATAATCATATGGGAGGCGGGGGGTATCATTAAGCGAACTCATTGCTCACATGTACAGTACCTCTAGTTTTACCAACACTCGTAGCGAACACCCTGCCACCTAGCGTTATACCGGGTAATGCCGAACAAATTTATGAATACTTGTATTTGTCTTCATTGAATATGCTTCATTGTTTGCGTGATTGAATTTAATTTTGTAATCAGAGATAATCACTTATTCCATAATTTGTACTACTTTAAACGAAAGTAGAACGCATTTACAAGAATAAAGCAATACAGAAGTAAAGACAAAATAAAGAGTGATAAAAGTCAAAGTGAAATGTACTTAAGACGAATATGAAATCAATAAAGTCACATGACAATAAAGTGACACATAGTTAAAATAATAAAAAAAGAATAAAGAAGTACTAGGCAGAATAAGAATAATAGAAAGATATATAGATTTTTGGAGGTAATTTCCTTCCATACTACAACTGTTTTTTTCTTTTTTCTTTTTTCTACTTAATGATAATGATGATCAAATATTTGGACACATTTCATGAATGCAAAAAAAAAACCGATGCAGTTGAGATTTTTTTTTGAGCTTCTGGAATGTGTAATGATTTATAATGACTAAAACAAGCATGATTAAAAAATGATACCTTTAGGGGTTTGTGTGTGGGGGGAGGGGGTATTTTAATACGCGAACCTGTGTTTGCTATTTAACTGAACATCCCAAATATTATTATGAAAAATAATGAAATAAAACAATGAATATAAAGCTGTTATAATAATAATTGTCATTGATTTAATATTTACTTACATTTCAGATTTGGAGCTCCTTTTGGACTTCTTGTCCAGAAATCTGTCTTTCGCAGACTTAAGTTTTGTTTTCACATATCTTGGTGAGCCTCGGTTGGCAGAGACAGCTTGTATGGACTGGACCATCTCCGAAACCTACTGCAAGCTTTTCCATGTGTGGCGATGTAAATATCCGCGCATAGACCACAAAGCTAAATTGAAGGAAGCTTTCTCCTCCATGGAGAGACAAGATTTAATTGAGAATATGGAAATGTTCTCTAAAGACAGCTATTGCTATAAAGAAGCTTTAGCCAATCCAACAGAACATGCTCAGTATACTGACTTTATCATTATGAGTAAAAATTTAGCCTTGAAATCTCATCACGTCTTGCGCTTTCTTGGTTTGAAACAGAGTGACATAGACCAGATTGAGAGAGATAATAGAACTACTCAAGAAAAAATACTGAGAGCTTTATCAAAAATCCAAAAAGATAGGCCATCACTCACAAGACAGAGTATTTGCAATGCTCTATATTATGCAGACCATTCCGACGTGATAGATATGTTAAACTCTATGTGGATCAGTGCAGGTCGGTATTATTCACTTTTCTGAGATTTTTGTATGTAAAAAAATAAAAAGATACATGTTTGTGTAAACCATACAGAATACTAATATTCTGATCAACAAGACTTGAGATGTTTCAAATCATTTAATGCTAGTTATGAACATAGCTGCAGGAACCAGGAAATAGCTTTATAAAAGAAAAGAAAAAAAACATCTGAAGCACAATGAGTCCCATTTATATCCTTTATCTCAGAACATATCGTAGAGTAGATAGAAATTCCCAATGTAATAAGCCAAATGAAATATAAAATATCAACACTAACTTTTTAAAATTAATCTTAAGACTTAACACCCAGAAAAATCTATATTCATCTAAATCATGCATTTTTTTTTCACACAAGTTTCAGTTTAAGCTGATTTTCAAAGATTTAGAAAAAATGAATTTTCTGAAGATAACAAAATATACATCATTTTTTTTTCTTTACTCTTTTATCTATTTATTTATTCATTTGCTTGTTTGTTTGTTTTTTTCTCTTTTTTTGATGAAAGGGTATGTGAACATTTTATTTTCGTGCAAAATCTAATATTGCAAAATCTGTCTTTAAACATCTCACTCTAAGAAGAATTTTTTTTGAAAAATGACTTAATATCTAATATAAATAGGTGTTTGAAATAATAGAGAATTTTTTATCAATAAACATTGGTAAAGACAGAGTAATTTTATGCATACCAGTAGATTGAATCTACCACTTTGTCCGCGTGTGTTCTCTCTGGTCTCTTGGACATTTGTCATGAAACTTTACCGATTTAATGAGTAGTATCTGTCATTGTGCGTGCTGCATTTAAAAATAGCAAATTGTCAATACTTGCTATATATGGAATCAGGGGGAAAGTGAACATTTTTTAACTTTGATTTTTTAAATCTAAGTACCGAAAGGACTACTGTAGACCTAGTTATATTGACGAGTTGAAAAATTGACGATTTTTTCTTTACGAAATTTGACGAGTGTTAATTTTGACTAAATATTTAATCGAAAGTGTTAAATCCTTGAATTCACGGGGATACAAAGACAGCGTCGGAATTACTAAAAAAAATTTATGAACAAACTATTTACGTGTGTAAGATTTGATTGGGTAAATAGCCTTCGTGTAATTCGATTCCATTATAAGCGGTCAATTGCTTGAGGTGACAAACTAGGTCAAGCACGGCGTGATAATTACGCTAAGTTACGCATGAAGTATTTGATATACTTTAGATTCAATGATTTTTAAAAATGTAATTATCTATCACTATGTTTTCATAACTAATTACAAAAGAAAGTAACAATGACTTTCATCTAGTTTTAATAGGTGAAAGCCGAGAAAATTAAGCGGTAAAGTTGTACAATGGTCAATGTCTGTTGTGACGCTACAGTATGTATATGATAAGAAGTTTGACGAGTGTAAATTTGGACGAGAGAAGAAAAATCGCAATGTAGTCAAAATTAGCACATCGCCAAATTTCCACTTTTACAGTAATACAAATTGATGGTTGTCAAAGCTTAGCTAACGGGTTTTGTTTCAGTGATGAAATAATTAAAGTCTTGTCCAGTTCGAGACGACATACGCTATTGCTTGCAAAAGCAAACTTACTAGTTTTATTAGTTTTTAACGTTGCACTGGTTTTCTGCTTAATATCGATTGGGAATAGTAACAAAACACTAAAATATATTAGCTATGAAGATTACAAAGACAGATAATAGGCAAAAATGGATGCCAGAAAAAGTTGTTTTGAAGATGTCTCAAAAAATGTATCACCGTGCAGAATTGACCCTTTTTACTGTACTTTTTTTTGGACTTTTATTTTGAACTTATATATGTTTCTTTTTTTTATTTTCCTTGAACTTATTTCTAAATCTTTATTTATTGTTTGACTATGAAGGTCCCAATATGTACTTGATTACATGTCTCGCAAAGACACAATACGGATCGATGATGATGAAATGTTTATTAAATGTGATAAAGGTTGATTAAAATTGTTTAAATAGAAAAATTGTCACTTTAGTTTAACTTTTTTTTGACAATTCCAATCACTTTAATATTAAACCAGTCATGGATGATCAAAGATAAGCCTTTTCTAGTAATGCGTTTAATATAAATGTCCAACAGGTAACGATATCTAAATAAAGTGTACACAATTATATTTGTATAATATCAAGTCTGTATTTCATTTTACTCGTACAGCCATGCAGGATAAGCAGAATCGGTGTGTTAAATGGATAATAAAAAAATAGGATTCCAAAACCTTATCGTGGGTCAATAGATTCAATTGAATGAAATATATTAAAATGGCATTCTGTGATTTTTTCAAACTAAACTCTTAAATAAACATGGTAACATTGTATTTACTTAAAACATTTAAGCTTTATTTGATATTATTATAGTAACGCAATCATTTAATAAAACTCAGAAGGAGCTCTCTACGAGATTTTATCCCCTTGACATGTTGCAAAATAGGAATCAAATAGCCAAGAAATCAATGGCATTTAGCTGAATTTTTTTTTCAAACTATGAAACGAAAACACACTTTAAAGTGAATAAAGAAAACAGTTCACGTATTAAGAATAAATATAGAGTATTTTAGAAATATCAATTGAAAGACTCTGAAAGGATGGATGTAAAGAAAAATTTGTCAAATCTGATCAAAATAAAAATATTTAAGATGTACCCGACATTCATCTCCGTAACGAAACATGAGGTTTTACTGATATTGTAGATATTAAGCCAAAGGAGAGCGACAAAGGTATCGCTGATTTCTGTATCAAAATAGAACCGAAGAAGAACAGTTATTATGTCAAAGAAACGGATATAAATACCGAGATAGAGAAGAGAAAGCATGGTATCCAAAAGACTGGTGTCAATAGTGAGCCAGAGGGATGCAAGCATGAAACCACGAAAACTGGTGTTAATGGTGAACAAGAGGAAAGAAGGAATGGTGTTACAGAGACTTGTATCGATAATAAACAAGAAGAGACAGAGAATTGCGTAATAGAAGATGGTTTAGGTACTGAAGAAGAAGAAGAAGTAGAAGAAGAGGAGGAGTTTCCTAGTGATACTGATGAGGGTGAGTTAATAAAGCGAACAGTGCAAACACGTTTTCTTGACAATATATGGTATTAGGAATATTTACTCATTTTATGTTTCAAAACAGGGGATACTATTTAAAATTTAAAAAAATTACAGACGTTAATATTTAACTAGAATACAAATTACAATTGCAAATAAACACAAATGCGGATCTTAATATTAAAATAGATCGAGGTCCAGGAGAATTATAACATTATACTAGACAGGCTTAAGTCAAAAGTAAGCTGGTATTAGTTTACTGTTATTCAAAGACCAGCTTCTATAGTAAACCAGGAAATAGAGCACATTTTGTTTAATCATTCGATATAAACAAGCAAATCAAAGGATTGTGGTCCCCCGTTTTCGTTGTCTTTGTAGGTGAAATGTTATATTTTATTACATGTGTCAGATATGAACGCCCTATCATACATGAATGTCATTTAGAAAGTATCACCAAAGTTGATTTCTTTTTTAAATAAGGTCAATCGTGAAAGTCAAGGAGTCATAGAATGCTAGTAAATATCTTGTCACAGGTAATGCATATGTCAAATATGAAAGTCCTATTTCATCTCAAAAGGAACAAAAGGTTTTTGATTAAAACTGGTGACCCTGTGTGGCGTATGGCAACACAGCGAAGATTAAAGTTGATGCATATGCATATTAAATATAATATAAACCAAAATAGCGTCTTCTAACAAGAAATACATTTTTGAAAAATGAAAGCCCTAGCACCACCTGTTCAAAGGTTTCAAGTATGGCCAAGGATATTTTTTGTAAGTTTGGTCAAACTTCAAGATCAAATGGTCAAAGTTGTTGGTTTCCTTAGAGAGGTCTTATCACAAGGATTACATATTGAAGGATGAAAGCCCTGGGTTTTTAGTGGTCAAATGTTATGGCTAAAGTTTTTTTTTAAAAAAAAGGTACGTCAAACTAAGTTAAGTCAAGCTCCAAGGTCAAAGGGTCAAAGTTTTAGGTACCCTATGAAGAGTCTTGTCACCGTGAGACCTTGAATATGAAAAGCATTGATCCTTGGACCTTGGAGTGTGACCTACCTTTTACAAACGTTAGCCTTGGCCATATGTAATCTTTGAGAAAAGGCCATTCTTTAGAAACCAACAACCTTGACAATTTAACATTAACCCTGGAGTTTGTCGTACCTTTAAAAATGTAAACCTTGGTCATAACCCATTAACAAGTGGTGCTATATTTTATATTTAAAATTTGTATTTCTTTTGAATAGGATTTAAAGGATTTACTTTAGTAATCAACTTATTTCATTTGCATTACAGAAATCCTGTTTTCTTACACTCACATATCGATTATCAGAAATTCTCCATTTTTACTACACCTAATAATGAATTGCATAAAAACAGCTTATTTTTCAAAGACAAATCACTATTGAAATGGCAATGTTTTGTAACCTGCGGAGAGAGAGATAGCGTAGTACAAATTTGAGAATATCTGTGGGTTCAAGGAAAATTTTACATGTTATTCCAAAAGTGAAGATATCATAAATTTGACCTAAGTTTAAACATTTTCTGTTTCACTCAGAATCTGTTATCTTGTGATATCATATATGAATCAAGCTGCCCGTAGGCCTTGTGTTGACAAGAAATGCTGATTCTTTAGAACTCTTTTATGCTTACAAATAAACTATGCACATTAGAATATATCCTAGCCAATCAAATCCAGCACAAGAAAAGCTATTTTTAGAAAATAGCTGTAGTATTTGAGGTTCTGATTTCTGTATACTTGTGAATTGATGTCTGCTCAATCATCTTACAGGTGTTTAATACTACAGACGTATATAGGTGTGTGACAACCCCCCCCCCCCTCCACTGCCTCTTAAAATTGTAAAAGTACGATATGACTGATATTATTAATGCCATACTTTGATACATAACTAACCAATGCCCCTTTTTGGTCATTGTTTTATTCTTAAAATGCATGAAAAGGCAGGGGTTTAAGGGGGGGGGGGTCAGGGGGCTTTCTTCCCAGGGTTAATGTTAAATTGTCAAGGTTGTTGGTCAGGGGGCTTTGTTCCCAGGACCGACCTTGGAGACTA